TGCAGCCTCCCTTCTCCAGGAGGAGCCGAGTGTCAGTCTCCTCTCCAGGGAGAAAGCATTGAGTTCAGAGTGCCTAAAGAGAGGAAGGTGGCGAGAGAGACACTTAGGCCTCCAGGACAAAGGGCATAGTGTCGTGGTGGTTAACATAGTTAGCAAATAATAATACAAAACCCCAGAAACAGCTAGTAGAAAAGACTTTTATTTTAACTACCTCCCCAGGCACCTGAGGGATTGCTGTATGTTCTTCTTCCTGTTTCACCCCTATAAAGACTAGCTCTTTTGCTCCCAAATCTTGGCCTTCAATGAGCTTCCATAAAGAAGAAACTTAACTATTTGCTTGATTCCTTGAGTACTTGTTATTTTTAGCCACAGCTGAGCAAGTGCAGGGCTGTGGATAAACTATGGATACCTCCCTGTGTTGCCCCTTCACTGCTGAGGACATACTTGCAGGGAAGACACCGCTCATTGGAAAAACATCTGATTCCACCGAGAGGTTCCCCAAGACCCCCCATCTTGCTCCTCAGTCCTTATGGGAGCACAAAGGGCCTCTAGGATCACTGTCACCCCCTTTTCCTAGAAAAATCCTCCCCTCACCTGGGTAGCCTGCAGTTCTCCAGGAGGCCTCCACTGACTCCACCCCTGCCAGGTTAATTTCACTGTCCAGAGATCTCAAAGCCCCTACACTGCACATGCAGTGATGCCTACACCATGCACTTGTTATTACCTATTTATGAGGCTCTCTCTCCCACTGGACTCTGAGCTGCTTAGAGCCGGGGCTTGTTCTAACCTCAGTGTCCTTGACCCACAGCCTAACACCTGACCCACTCAGTCAATGTCAATGCTGTGTTTATGGACTCCAAGCAAGAACCTGCAGTGGTGACTGACTTGGAGCATTGCACTAGTAGATGTCTAAGACTGATGCCTGCTCTAAAAGACCACAGATTCTCTATCCATCCTGGGCTTTGCCACCTTAACGTACCCATACATATTGTAAGCAAGAAAAAAACCCTTCTTTATCTTTAAAAACTACTTTCAGAGATCATTAGTGCTGTATTTATTATCAATTTTGCAGTATTTCATAGTGGACATCTTACATGAATCAAATAATCCTAAAGACACACTAGAATGCTTAAAATTCCCAGATGACATAAGATAGGGTTTCACATTAAACATGCACATTTGAGGGTGTAAAGAATTCATCGGCATGAAGTTATGTATAGTTTCACTTTCATCACTTTTAATATGACCCAAAGGTGATTACAGTGAAACTACATCACAACTAAAATGTTGGGTCTCTCAACAATCTTGTTTTATTGTTGGGCAAAGGGAAAGGCCTCTGGACCAAAGCTAACCAGAGGACAAAGGGAACTCTGAACAAGGCTGACCATCACATCCACAATGTCATGACTTAGTTCCTCAAAATTGGAAGCTGTTCAGATATGCGGAGACCTTACTCCATTCCTATCTACAGAGAGGCACGTAAGCCACGTTCACTTATCCAGGTCAAAAGAGTTTATTAACAATGTGTCAGCACCATACCCAGCTCCTTATATACATGATCTTCTCTGAACCTCACATCAACCCTATGGAGAGTGGGTACTATTATTATCTCCGCTTGGCAGATGGTCCTCAGAGAGTTAAATAACTTGCCCAGGGAAACTGGGGTTCACATCCAGTTCAGCTTTGCTCCCAAGCCCACTATCCCACACTGCCTTGCAGGCCTAACATCCAATTAAGCCAGTGGATAGAACTGCTTTTTGACTTTGCACTATGTTTTAAGAAGTTTCTCACCCATCTATCTCATATATGAAAGTCAAACAAGGCCCATGAGATACCTCTGTTTTGAGATGTTAAAGAATAAATTCCCCAATAAGGCTGTAATTATTTAAAGTGGGTAGGAGGAGGTGGGGGGGAAAGGAAGGAGGGTCTCTACCACCTGGCAGTCATCACAGCACCTGAGATGCTAACACAATCCTGCCCTCCTGTCTTCAACTAAGCTGCTTCTTTGCCCCCAGTGCTCTTTTCTCTTTTTCTGGCCATCCTTGAAAGCCCATCTCAACTGTACACTCCTCAGTGGAGTTTTTCCCAACCCTATGGCTTCCTGCTCTGTCCCCTACAGGTCTTTCCCCTCGCTAAAATGCTCCAGCACCAAGCACAATGACTAACTAGCGGCTGCATTTGGCACCTTCTCTACCATTGGACCATAAGAGTGCTAAGGGAGGGACCATGACCAATGATCAGACTGTTCCGAGAAATGGAAGGCTGCAAAAACATATCCCCTAACTCAGACTACCTGCATATGCATTACCATGCATCTCAAGACAGCATTCTACTGTGGGGGTGGGATTAGAAAAGGGATATTCCACCCAAAACTTGGGTGAGATATACTGGGCACTTAGTTTAAGGGATGGAGTTCTGAAGTCAATGGCTATTTCCAACTTGCCCTGGCCTACTTTCCATTCTTTTTCTTCTCCCAGGTAATAACTGGGAGAGATCTCTAAATGCATGCATTATTTTCTAATCTTTGGAGAGGACATAAGTGATAACCTGTATTCTCTGTTAGATTAGTAAAATTTTTTACAATATTGTCCTTCACCTTTTTCCTCTTTGAGTGGGAAAATTTACATAATTTGGGGGTTCATGTTATCTCTTCAGGTTGGACATTGGGGAAGATATGTAAATGTCTACATAAGGTCATTGATGCTGAGATGCTGGAGCACACGGGTTCACGTAGGGAGTGCGCAAATAAGACACAGGACTAAGACTGTTCTCCTCAGAAAGGCCTGCTTGCAAAGTTGGTCTTTGGCTGGCATCTGGGAACTGGCATTTCAGAAGAGTTTCCATCACTCTCCAAGTGATAAGAGTGACTCACTATGCCCAAACTATTTGTACAAGCGAGATAATGTATGCTGAACTCGTGCTTTCCTCCTGGGAGTCTGGAATTTGGGTATGCGGCAGGCAGAGGGTGCCTATGTGATCAGACCCCAATAAAAACTTTGGGCATGGAGTCTCTAATGAGCCTCTCTGGTAGACAACACTTCACACACATTGTCACAGCATTGCTGGGGGAATTAAGTGTGTCCTGCACAACTCCACAGGGAGAGGACTCTCCAAAGCTTGTGCCTGCTGTCCTCTGGACTTTGCCCCACGTGCCTTTCTCTTTGCTGATTCTGCTCTGTATCCTTTCATTGTAATCAATCAGAGCTGTGAGTATGACTATGTGCTGAGTCCCGTGAGTCCTCCCAGCAAAGCATCAAACCTAGGAGAGCTCTTAGGGGCCCCTAACATGGGAGTTTTAAAGTGTTCATGGCTTACACCTCAAGTCACAAGAAGCCATAGGCTTATAAAAAGAAGATATGTAGTAATGGGACCTCTAAGGAATGACATCTCTGAATAAAGTAAGTAGGACGTGATTTGGGATGATAGGGTGCACTGGGAAGGACACTATGTAAAATGTTACAACCAAGAGAAGGGAATAAAACCTGCACAATCCTTTGTCAACAGTTACTTCTTTGTCCTGGGGTGAGATGTTATTTTGCCGACTTCCAAAATGATGGCAGACATCATGAATTCACAAGAATTTTCTAAGATTCCTTGCAATTCAATCTCCTCAGTTTGGAGTTACCCCAGCACCCAGAGCAGCCACAACTTCTACATGGGGAGAAACAGCCCTGCTGTTGGCAGCATAGGTCTAGCAAAAAATGCATACTTACAAAATGTAGATTAAATGAAAGAAATGCTAAGCAGACATCAGGTCCACATACATACCAAACACCCTCTGTCTCTTTTCCCTTATCTTTATAGTTTACTTGGTCTTAAAATAAAGAAACATACTATTCAATGGGAAAATATGTTCTACATTAGAAGTGAATTCATTTCACTTTAAAAGGATAGCAATGGATATTCAAGAACAGGGACCATGTCTGATCATGGACACAAGTATTTCTTTTCAATTTATAAAGCACTTTCCTAACATCACCTCATTTGATCCTCATAACAACTCTATGAGGTAGATAATATGACTTTTCTTTTATCCTTCATGGTATCTGGTCTGTTACAAGACAAGCAATGATGCTCAACTGAGACTTACTGGTTAACTGATTAGTAATGGCCTTAGAAAAATTACTGCTTTACAAAAATTAAGAATTCTTGAAGTCTGTCAGTGGAAGAACAAGCTAAAAAGCAATCCAGGCATTCAGAGGAATTATTAAAATCACAAATTAAGTCATTTCTATGAACTCTATAGCAGGAAATATATTTTTAATGAGGAAATTGAAGCTAATATATAACAGCTGTCCTGTTACCTGGTAACGGAGTATTAAGGCAGATTAAATTATTAATGAAAAATATAGCAAGTTGGAAATTTAACCTTTAAACATTCTCTTATTCCTTTCTCTTTTATATACACAGTATTTATACTGATATTTTTTTAAAAAACACATTTGGTCATCTTATGTAGTTTCCATTTATAATTTGCTTTGCTCCTCATTAGCTATGGAATCTCAGCAAGTTATTCACTAGCAGATTTTTTCACGATATGGTATCTAACATGTTCATGCCTGGAATAGCAGGCAACCTCCAGGAAACTTACTGGGTGATACCTATGCTAGTCAAACTCCCAAAACTCCCCCTTCTTTGGCTCCACCACTGGTGGCCCTAAACAGCCAACTGCACTTGACCCACAGACCCATGAGCAAAGAATAAATACTGTTGTCATAAGGTCACTAAGCATTTGGGGGTTGTTTGATATGCAGCAATAGTGATTGTCAGTAAGCGACTCAAGAAGTTACTCATCAGTTACTAAAGTCACAACCTTATAAGAAAGAAAAGTACATGAGGAGGCTACATGAAGAGAAAAGAGAAGGAGGGAATATAAACAGGTACATTAACATGGCCTAAAAAACCACGCCTTCACTGTCTTCCACATGTTCACTGCCAATCGACACAAAGATAAGCATAGCAGCTGATTCCAGGCCCAGTAAGAGGCGGTGAGGACTCACGTTGGTGTTGCACAGCTTGTACTGCCGATAGGCCCCGATGCAGGAGATTGCCGTAGACCGGGCAGGCTGGGAGAAGCTCTGAGCTGCCCTGTGGGCCCCAGTGCCATGGCTGCTGCCTGTTTCTGGGCTATGGAAGAGACTTGAAGCTGCAGGGAAGCCTTGATCATGGGTCAAAGGCAGCTGGTAGATGGAGGCCTCTGAGGCCTGCAGTCCAGAACGAGGGCCACTGTCACTCTGGTACAGAGGCCCATGCTGGGGGGCCCGGTAGGCTGGCGGGCTGTAGCCAGGGCTAGAACCAGATGCTCCCTGGGACCTCGAATGCCGAGATGAGGGCCTCTGCCTCCGAAGCCTCTGCGGTGAGTGGGCAGAGTCCGTCTGCAGTGGTAAGATGTACGGCGCCTTACCATAGCCATACTTGCCAGGGCCGATGGGACCTCGGGTCCTGCTCCTAAAGAGAGACACACAAGAGAGGGGATGAACAGAGTCATAGGAATTTTCATGTTCACCCAGAAGCTCTGGCCCATGGTAGAGGGGACTGGGTAGGAATGAACGCTCGGGAGAGAGCCTGTGGTGGAACAGGGAGGTAGAGAGGGGCCTTCCAGGAGCAGGGAACATCGTGGAGGCTAGAACAGAGGCTAGAAAGTAGAATGAGGGTGGGAGTCAACAGTGGGTGATGAGAGTGGTTGAAAATGAGGTTAGAATGGTAAGCCGTGGTCAGTACGTGACTTATGTCAGCGAGTTGGGGCAATTTTGTAGGTTACAGGGAACCACTGAAGGTTTTCTGAGAAGGATAAAGATATAAATGTAATTTCAGCCATAGTAACTTCCTGTTCACTTTTTTCCTAATAATAATTTGTGGATTTTTTCTCACTCAACTGTGCCTGACATTTCAGACCGTTTCCATTACCACTCATGCCCAAATAGCTTTTCCAGGGAAGTGGAACTTAGCTAAACAACCACACTCTAACTGTCCTGAGGCCTGACTTTCCCTGGTTAAACTTAATCCCTGAAGAAATTAGAGGACAGTGAGCAATTGGCTACTCCAGCACTCTTGAGGCAACCCATGCTGAGCAACGGGTGAATGGTCACCTCCACAGTGGTAAGGCTCTTTATATTTTGTCAAGACGTTTTGCCTGGTAAGACCTTAGGAAAATCATGTAAACAGTGGTGTGCTGGTAAACGTTTAATAACTGGCTTCCAAGGGGGAAAAAAAGCCCTGATTTATAGAATTTGCCCATGGTATAAATACTCCCACCATGGCCAGTGTCAAGCTACCAATGTGAAGACACAATCAGCTCCATAGAGCAGGGAAAAACAGCTCCAGGACACCACTGCATGTAAATTTATTACACAACTACTGTTTGCAAAATACAAAGCTAGGCATGGTGAGGAAATATAAAAGTGAACTGCATAGGGGTCCCAAGCCCCCAGGCTTACAACTGAAAGCAGCTAGAACTAATGCCATGTGGAGAAAGGGCCTTGGAAGCAATACGACAAATGGTGATTTGGGTTTTCTGAGGCAGGAGGAAGCACTTCTGTCTGGAGGGACCCGAGAAGGCTTCGCCATCATTAGTCTGAGAGTTGAGACACAAGGTTTCAATACTCTGTGGAAGGATTTAAGTAAGTCATCTAACTCTTACTTTTTTGTAAAATTACCAAACTGGATTAAATGACTGCAAAATAGTTCCAACTCTAAAATTATGCTTCCATAATAATTAATTCTACGTTTATGTAAAACTGGAAATGTGCCCAACCGTTTCTACAGGATGGCCCCATTAAAATAAGCACGTTAAAACAACAATCAAGGTGAAACATTAATTTCTGCCTTCATGAGGAAATTCTCTCTTCACTCTACATAACCACTGAATATAAAATTTAACAGACCACGACTAATTATTAACACCTTTATCACTAATTGCACCTTCATTCTTAGCTGATATGGTTTTGAATTAAACTGTGCTACAGTGTTTATTTTGCCTTCAGCCACTTCTCAATTAATCTTGGCAACACTTGGGACTCTGTTAATGATGGGGGATCTAGCATGCTGCTTTAAGAGATGCAATTAAGAACTTAGTCTTAAAAATATATATAACTTGGATGTAATTTGCCTTTTTCTTTCTTGTGGTAGGCCAGGTAAAATGAATGACATCATGCAGAGATAAAGGAAAGAATTTCTGTGTGTGTGTGTGTCATTTTTTCTTTAAGATCTGAAAGTCTACCAAGAATTCTAGCCTCAAAATACTGGGTGGAGACCCCACCTGAAGGTAAGAGAGAAATGAAGACATGTGTAGCAGTGGATCACCTAGGGATCTTGTTAAGAGGCAGATCTGATTCAAGAGGTCCAGGGTGGGGCCTGAGATTCTGCATTTCCAACAAGCTCCCAGGCGATGCTGGTGTTGCTGGTCCACAGACCTATGGCTTTGGAACGAAGTCACAGAACAGAATTGAAATTCCAAGCGAAAGGATGAGAATTCAATAACAAAATTTATCACTGTTAATGGAGACAGATAGCTATAAAAATTTTTTTAAAACCTCTGAGTTTGTGACATATACAAAAATCTGCTGGCCTGAGCCAGGCTGCACTGCTGCAGTGCATCCAGTGGGAGCTGCTGAACCAAGACTGACTAGCTCTTTACTCCTGGGGAGCCGAGGGAGAACCATCATTGGCTGATGACTTGTGTAAGCATCTTTCAAGGGCCGCCCATCACCCCTGAGGGGGATAACATACACATGTGCAAATGTATATTTTTGTATTCACATTGCCTTATGGGAGGCTCTAAACTGGAGAACCATTCAATCCACACAAACAGCAACACCATTGGAAAGATAATGATTTGAATAAAAACGACTAGCTAATTCTGATAAATAGACTAAAAGGAATGAGAGGCCAATTAGGGTGTGATTATGAGAGACGATTTCTGAATGCTTGACTCAGAACACTTGGACAAGCAAAAGATTCATCCTCACTTGGCCAAGAGAATGTGTGTTTTCCTTACGGCAGTCAGAGCTAATCATTCTGACGGTTCAGAATGGCCTCTTCCCCACCAGGACACGCTCCATCTGGCCACTTGCAGGGGGCCTCCAGGAACTGGGCAGATTTATGCAGAGTTGAGATAATAAGCACAGATGTGGCCGAGGGAACCCATGTGGCCAGTTAACCCTTCCAGGGAAGCATGTGGTAGGTGCCTGGGGGGCTGTGAGGTCAATTAGTTCTGCTTGGTCTCCCCATAATCTACCTCTGGGATTTTACTCAGGATTCAGCACTTGTCAGAGCTCTGGCTAATTTTGGAAAGTTGGGCCTTGCGAAAAATGAAAAAAGCCCGGTTTGAGATCAAGAACATGGGTGTTAGCATATCAATGGTGGTTAATGACTTGGACTCTGAAGCCAGGTTTCCTGGGTTTGAATCCCAACTCCATCACTTACTAATCATGAAACGTTGGGTAAGTTACCCAGTCTTTTGATGCCTCAGTTTCTTTAAACAGGGCCAGGACTGGGATGAGGCCAGTGAAGCACACAGGGAGCAACATTTAAGGAGACACTCTCAGGGTCGTGCAAGTGCTGGTCGACCCTGAGAGTGATGTCTCCTTAAATGCTCCACCCTAGGCCCAGTCCCGGCCCTGTATGCATTTATAGTAAAGATGATCCTTCCTTATAGGTTGTTGTAAAGAGTAAATGACTTAATAAGAGCAAAGGACTTAACAAGGCCTAGCATAGAGCGTGCATCAAACAAGTATTTGCTTTGGGGAAAAAAAGGTCTAGCTTGGCCATTTACTAGCTCTACAAATAACGGCAAATAACGCACCCTCAATTTTCTTACCTACAAAATGAGAGTACACCCACTAGGATGGCTATAATAAAAAGAACTGATACTAACAAGTGTTGGAGAGGATGTAGAGAAACTGAAACCCTCATACATTCCTGGTAGAAATGCAAAATGGTGCAATCACTTTGGATAACTATCTGGAAGTCCCTCAAAAAGTTAAATGTGGCGTTACCATATGACCCAGCAATTCCAATCTTAGGTACATACCCAAGAGAAATGAAAACATATATCTACACAAAAACTTGTACAGGAATGTTCATAATAGCTCTATTCATAATAGCTACAACCCACATGCCTATCAACTGATGAATGGATAAACAAAATATATTATATCCAAATAATGGATTATTACTCAGCCATAAAATGGATAAAGTACTGATACATACTACAACATTTATGAACCTCAAAAATATTTCAAGTGAAAGAGGGCAGACACAAACAAAAGGCCACATATTGTATGATTCCATTGTTATGAAATGTCCAGAACAGGTAAATTCATAGAGACAAAAACATGACTAGCGGTTAACAAGGGCTTGGGCGTGGAGTCGGGGAGTGGAATAGAGAGTGACTGCTAAAGGGTAGAGGGTTTCTTTTTGGGGTGATGGCAATATTCTGAAATTAGTAGTGATGATTGTACAACCTTCTGAATATACTAAAAACCACTGAATTATACACTTTAAATGGTGAATATTTTGGTACGTTAATTATATCTCAAGAAAGCTGTTATTTTTTAAAATAAGAGCATAAATAATTCCCATCTTATCTACTTACAATGATGTTGTAATGATCAAAATGAGGTTACTGATAGAAACGCATTTTTTAATCTGAAAGTAGTCTTTATCTTTTGTTTCCCATCATTTGTTTCAACAACCTTTATTGAGCAACTTCTTTGAACATCTATTGAGCATCATGTATAATGTTTCTCTGCTTGTACACATTTCCAGCCCTGACAACAACGTAAGTAAATGCACAGCCTCCCTCCCCCACGGTATGGCTCAATGACAAGAACTGGACCGTAAGGGTTCTGACACCAGGGCCCAGTCCCAGTTCTTCCAGTTCCGGATGTCTGAGGAAATTGCTGTTTCTTGAGATACTGGCTGCAAATAGCATTTTGGAAAGGGTAAGAAGCACATAAAATATTTTCCTTACGACAGGCTGGCTGTCATCCAGGGGCTCATTATGTGTGACGTTGTACAGCTTTGTAATGTTAATCATGACCAGCCAGTGTGATGATTCAAGCAAAGACACCACATCCAGTCTCCCTCTTCCCAACTCATGCACATACCCTAGAAATGTGTCATCTATAACCATCATCTGTAACTGACAACACCCACATTTCTATTGCCTGCCCAGACCCCTCTCCTGGGCGTCAACCACATATACCCAACTGACCTCTAGACTGGAGTCTGCTTCTCACCTGTGATATGCACCCAGATCACCTGGGGACCTCGTCAAAAAACAGCTTCTGATTCAGGAGGTCTCGGCGGGCCTCTGATTCCTCATTCGTAGTAAGCTCCCAGGTGATGCCGATGCTTGGGTCCTGGGACCACACTTTGATAGCTCCACCTACACATTCCCACAGACATCCCTAACTGAACACATTCAAGCCCAATTTCATCATCCC